CGCTTATACGCCTAAATTAAAATTGGATTAATTATAAATAGTAGTAATGCTTTACCGTTTGGGTTTTACTGCAGTCAGTTTTACCAATAACCACTATCGTATTTTCCTTGACATAGGTCCGGATTGGACTTGGTAGTTCAGTTGCCATCGTAAAACTGATTTACTGCAACTTCTTGTGGCTCAACCGCACCGCTTTTGCGTCCCTACAACGGTTGTACAGTACTGTACAACCTATCGGTGTTGCACACGGTACTACAGTACCAGGTACCACCAACAGGCAGCCGGCGTTTCACTGTGACCAAAGTATGAACCACTAAAAGAAAGCCGGTTTACTTTGAGTAGTCCATGACTGTATACAGTACTGCACATTTTTAGATACCCTTTTAGAGTCTCTAATAAAAATATAATAATAAGGGTCTCTACTGCACGTTACCGTAGATCGTTCATTCGTGACTATTCGTGACTGCGGTCTATTGTACTGTACAGTGTACTGTACACTGTAGTTTACTACCCTGTACAATACAGTACAATACAGTACTGTACAGTATAACGGCGCACATTACAGTACATTGTACTGTACAGTATATCTTTGATGTCAACCTTTGTCAGTGTCAGGAGTTCAGTTAACAATGAGAAATGAAAGGTGAGGGAGAATCAGTTTATTAGGAACAAATAGCAAGAGAATCACAAATGAAGGACAGAGTGTATGTGGAAGGATTGCAACAGAACTGAATTCTTAATTGATTGATTGTTCTGCTTATATATTCTAGGTTGCAATATTGTATAGGAACAAATATAGAGATCACAACTATGCATGTACCACTAGACTATACAGTACTGTACACTGTACAGTACAGTACTGTATAATAACAGGGTACAGTATGTGACACAGTACTACAGCATACACTGTACTATCATTTTGAACCTGCTCTACTGAATCAATCAATCAAAATTTTTTAGAGTGAAATTTCTCGGGCGTCGGACTATAGATAAATACGAATGAAGAAGATCTCTTGATACATCCAGGGGCTTCCAAGAGAAAATTTTGTTTCTCTTAGCAGTCCCTGATACATCTTAAGATGCATCACAAATAACTAACAAGGATCTCTATGCAAAATGACGTACTGTACAGTGCAGAGTACATTTATTACAGTACTGTACTCATTGTCATTACAGTACAGTACACAGTACTGTACAGTACACTGTACTGTAGTTGAGATTTTAATTAATTAATTCGCATTTGTTATTCAGTAATATTGATATACTGTACTGTACTGTACTGTACAGTATTTATTTATTTTTATTTTTTATTTTTTTTTATTATACCGTACAGTACGGTACAGTACAGTACAGTACCGCACAACCAAAAGCAAGGTAGCAGCAGATGATAGAGCACAGTACTGCAGTTAAGCAAGCGAATTGGCATCAAAGAATAAAAATTACTGTAACAAAATCTTGGACTAAGGATATTTGTGCTTGATTGCACCAATAGTAATAATTATTAAGAGTGCTTATGTATAGACGATATTTTACATCGGGCAGTGAAGCAAGCCGAGGCAAGATTACAATTCTGGAACGAGCTAAATTAAAACTGGCTACGACGATTATCAAACGCTACCCTCGCGGATTTTCGTCGCTAGCCGGATTGCGATTTTTCATTTTGATCGCTTTCCTATCTTTATTAGTCATCATTACCACTTTAATTGTACTTATCTTAAGGACTACTAGTGGAGCATTTACGGAAGTTGACAGCAATAACTTTGACATTGATTTCCCTGGCTTCGAGAATCGATTATTCTAATAAACATGGATGAAGATACGATGAATGCCGGTGAGATATTTGAGACAGTACAATTGGTAGACTTGTAATGATTTTAACGTTTGTAAATTTTACTGACATGTTACCATACCGAATAATGAATAAAAGTTAATGTACTTTGACGAGAAGTATCATAGAAATATCTGACTGTATGTTAAACGTATACTTATATGCTTTGCGTCGACTACAGAACTAAAGACAATACTGTATACTAGAGCAGTCACTGTCAGTATATGTAAACTACTGTACAATGTGATAAAAACGTTGGTTATAATATACTGTATAATAAACAAGCACTACAGTACAGGTATATGAGTGATCGAAATTGTTGATGATATATTACTATATCCTAAGCCTATATTAACGGTACATCAATCTCTATAAACTTAAAAATTATGGCGGTAAAGCTTTTGAAAAGTTGATACAGCTTTTATCAATAACTGTAACATAGTGTTGAATCCCAGTATACGCTTGTTAACTGCAATACTAAAAGCTTTTAATCAAAGGTATTAGATATCTACTGTATTGTCAGACGTAAATACTATGCTATTTTTATAGCGAATATTGGTAAACTTATTCTTTTTATACCGAAAAGGATTCGCATGCTCTACCTGCTTCTGATCATCATATTAATAATTATAATCAGTAGTGGTCAAAGTTTACTGACGATAATACAAAACTTTTTAAGATTATAACGCGCAGATACGCGTAGCACTATGCGTACCTAGCGAGAAAGTTTTTATTAATTAAATAATTCCAGGTCCCAGATGATCATCGTTTATTCACAAATTTTAGTTTACAGTGGCAGACTCTGGTAGCCTGCTCTGAATCCAACTAATATCAACAGATACAGTATAACTTTCTACAGTATTACATAATACAAGTAATAAATAATAAATAATAAAGATATATCACTGGTTGATCAGCCAGCGCAGCTGGTTACACGTATATAGACGACGGAGTACATAAACGGATCTAAATTCTACTACGATTAGAACTGTTGTTAATAAACAGTAGTTATACTAACAGTTCTCGCTATATGAAGTCGATTCCAGGTTAAGATTTAAATTAGTTGCTTTAAAAGAATTCTCGTTATAGCATATTACAGTACGTGATTCAATTCCAGATGGGTTGTTAACTGTAAATTCGAACAGTTTAGAAGTTTACAAATACCTTTTACCTTAAAGTAAGTAAGATGTTCATATCCGTGAAAGCATCATCTGAACAATTTCAATCATCAATGATATAATGAAGCGTTCTATTTATTTAATCTATGTACGTAAAAATGTATTGGAATCTTGAGCTATCTTAAAACAGCAGAACGATGCCATACTTTTGTTGGTATAAAATTATGGTATAGCATTTCTGAACGGTAGCCAAGGAGTTTAGCAATAGAGTATCGGGTTCAGTCGCTCCAAAGTCTCAATGTTGAATCGAGCTGTACTCTGTACAGTATATCTATATTGTATGCAATCGCTTACACACACGTATAGTCCTTTTTTAGGATTGCTGTATTAGCAGGAGCTTAACCTTCAGCTTGGTAGTTACGTAGAAGTACAGTAGTATAGAGTAGATCCGTTAGATGTTTATCACATGTAATGGGAGCAAGTCAATCAATTAATGCTCCCTATCCACTAGCTTCACGAAGCATTAATTAATTTAATTTAATTTAGTCTATTGATCGATTTATTTATTACAATAACTTTAAAGTTAACCATTAACAAATACGGGTTTTTTATTTATTAGACTATTGTATATGTAGACATATTCAGATTTGAAACTATAATAACCACTTTTTAGTGCTACCACGCGTATAGTATACAATTACATATTTAAAATTTATTTTTAAATAAGCCTTGAATGTTGATTGTCTACCGTTTTAAGATTTGGAATCTAGATTGTCAGAAAGAAAAGAAAGCTAACATGGAATGAATAACTATAATCATCACCTGCTTTGGTTTCGATTATTGAAGTTTATATTATCCATTACGTACTTCGCGATGATAACTTTAGTTTAAATTTCCTTAAAACCAAATTTATTACGGAGAGAAATCAAATGGGTAGTATTTAATTAAGAATGAACACTATTGATGTAAAATAAAAATTGTTTAGTCGCAATTCTTTCTTTCCTTTTCTTCCCTTGCCCAAGTGTATGTGAATCTCACACAAAAAAATTAATCTTGAAATACATGTATATGTATACATATTAATTATGATGTAATCAGTCATACTAATATCGTTGCATAGAGACTTTATTAACGAATGCTTGTCTTGGATTTGTTACCAAATGACGGATATGGCATGGCATTAAAAGCTCTCATTCTGAATGCAATTATTTGTATTATTTCAGTGACTAATGCATTGTAGTTATTTATTTATTTACTGTCTCAAATGAATATATAACTCGTTATCAAATTTATTACTGTATGTGTTCTGATATTGTGTAACACAATATTTATCTTAGGAATAAAAGCCATATCATCAAATTATTAATTAGTAATATTTTCTGCAGCTATCAGGATCACGTGCTAGGAAATTTTATTATTTTAGATGATGAGAATCTAAGAGTAAGGATGTATTAATATAGTAATTTATACTTTCATTCATGAGAGATTTGCAATGAATTGACAATTCATTGATTTAAAAGGAAAACGATAAATTAAGATAGATGAGTATGTCAAGTATACAGTACATCGAATAAGATTTCTTCGAACTGCTTTTGGCTGCATAACCAATCTTGACTGCTGTCTGCTTCATTAAAGAAATCTGATTACTTCTACATATACACTGCGTCACGCTTTTACTTGAATAGTGTCGGTTATAATAATTACAATTAACTGGAGTCGTATATAGCATATACATAAATATCAATAATAGTTATAATCACTTTGCAGGCATTTAAACTGATTAAATAAGAAACAATCTATAATATTCTCATTATACGCGTACTATTAATACAATATGACTAAAAGTTTTCTCATAAAATAATATATGAGGATGAATCATAAAATTTATTAAGCGAATGCTTTGGTCGGGCCAAAGTTATCCGAAGATAGTACATTGGATGACTTACTCATTGAATTAGTCAAAGAACAAGCGCAATTAATAATGATCAATAAGTCACAGCGGTGGCATGGTCTGTTGCATTGGATATATACAGCGGTTACCGTAAAATAGGTGAAATCAAGATACACAGCATAAAGTACTCAAATTTAATACATTAATACGAAATTAAAGAAGGCAATACTGCGTCCCTATGCATACATAGGAACTGAATGTATCAACTTTTGTATCTTGATGTAGTGCGTGCCATAAATTGTATACAGTGATATATCGTATACGAATTGTAATAAAATTCTAGTCTGTAGGTATATTTCTTATGAGCGTCATGAACACAGACTCGTATCCTCTATCCATATTCTCTCAGCTAACTGCCTATAAAGTGATGAGATTAATTCACTTCGTAAAAATAATAGTTTTCAAGATTAATGTTAGTTCGAGTTGATATGGATAGATTCAATAATCTTAGAATTATAGTTATACCAATAAAGAAAATTTGTAAAGCTTATTGCCACATCTGCATTCCAGATATTCAATAGTGACTGGATTTAGATCTTCAAGATACTCCTCTAATTTCGTCTAAGAATTTGTAATAAATTGCATTAGCAGGTAAAGCAAAATGTACAGCTAGATTATTAAATTTTATTATTGAATGGACATTACCTGTAATTTGTTCATTATTGACTGATTAAACTTATCAACCTGATTTCCTGGGCACCAGCCAATACTGATATGAAATGAAGGTGGCTATAAAAAGTCATTAATATTGTAAGATTTAAAAACAGTAGCGCAGATAGTCAATATGATAAAGCTGATCAAATAACAGAGTTGAAACCTATTGTCTTATATTAATTATCATTAGCGTTACCTCGTAAAATGGCGGCAGTTGGTACTTTCGGAAGCATTCGTTAATAGAATTTGTGAGTGATCGCAACTACAGTAAGTATAATAATAGATAAGCTGTGAATATCAATGTGTAGCTACTACTGTGCCATGATAAAGTGTACTAAATTCTTTTTACCTGCTCATAGCCACCGTAAATTTCTATTGCTAAAAAAGTTCTATGTAAGCGAAATCATATCAAATCAATACTCATACGTCAAAAACACATGCCTTATCAATTCCTAGAATCTAATAGTCAGGTTGATAAATACACTAATTCTACACAGCTATATGAGGTCAGTTTTAGTATACCTTGTATAATCGTCATTTGGATAAACTGCGATCGAGTTCATATAACAGTTAAACCTATACAGGTTACGAGTATTTTGACATCTCAGTTAGGATCTACATAGTGTAACAAATAACGACATTTAGCATCGTTAAAATTATTACCAACCTTGTCTTAGTCGTTAGTGCAGCCTTTATATCGTTCATTAAAGGTTGCATAATGTGAAAGCCTATATGCACATTTTTTGATAAGCTGATGTGAAGTTCACCTTCTATAATTCTTTCAAGAGTAGGTAAGGCTGGCTTGGCTGTGCTGATCAAGTCAGCTACAACAACATCGAATAACCCTCCACCAGACACTTTGTACAAGATATTTAAACCATTATAGAATTAAACAAATGAATCTGTATTATATACAGGGCAATATGCACTTAATAAGTAAATTCTGAAATCTTACTAATGAGAATAGAATGTGTAATATGCCAATAATTATATCTCGCCATACTGTACAATGATAAAATTAAAACATCTAAATATTAATCTGAATTACTGCGCTAAGCTGATATTCACTTAGTAACTGATGTGACTAACCAACTTGAATCCTATTCTACCATAGGATAAAATCTGTACGTACAATAATAATTAATTTTGTAAAATTGAAAAAATCGTATTCAAAAACTTCGTTTTCATAGTATTTTAAATGTAATTAACTCTATTAATATACATCATGTAAAAGCATATATTAAATTACGAAATGATATATGTATAGGAAGTATACAGTACATATATATTACTACATTGCTTACAAGGGACACAAACATAAGTCAGCCATTTCCCACGATCTTGCGACATGTGATTCCTATAACTGGTGACATTAGATATGCTAGCGAGTTGGTTATCTTCTTTCTCTAAGGAGCAGCCATGAGTTTGATTTATTAATGCTACTTACTATTAAATTACGAATGATATACAATAGATGTAGCCATATAATACGGTATGCGTATAAGATCTTGTACCTTCGCTGAACATTTGCAGAATGCTAGATGGAATATTTGGTGCATACCTAAGTTTTAACGTACGTATAAAACAATATTAATAAATAACGATAACATTTCCGAGATTAAAATAAATAAATAATAAAACGACTTTATTATAGACCAGAAACACTACTGTAAAATTATTATTACAACTACTGCAAATTTGCTATCCATTCGAAGAAAATCGTTTCTTACTACGAGATATGTAAAGGATGCAATATCATTATGTCTATGAATTAACCTAATCGTACTACTTTATCTCTCAATACTGTACTTTATAACGATGCATACTTAGGATTGCGTGTGTTTCCCTCACAGTTTATCCCATCATCAACCTTAGGCCGTGTTTGATTTTCTTGGTTATCGATATCTGATGAGCTCTCACTGTCGTAATCGTGACAAATTCTAAACAGAGCCATTTGCTGTCATTTTGTAAGTTGCTCGTCAAGGGAGCGCAGGCCGGCGTCGCCTTGAGCCAAAGTACTGTACATACAGTGTACAGTACACTGTACGATACTGTACTACAGTACTGTACTGTACTGTACAGTATACTGTCTGCAGTTTATCAATGCGCAGTACTGAACTTACCAATATTATTGTAGTACAGTACAGTACCGTACGATGGAGTCCATGACTGTACATACTGTACTGTACTGTACAGTATCATGGCTGTGTACTGTACTGTAACTGTACTGTACAGTGTACAGTACAGTACAGTACTAATCTTTTTAGTAAGTACTGTAGTCCATTACTATCACTGACTACTGTACAGTACAGTACACTGTATTCGTAGTCTACAGTACATACTGTGGTCGATGGTGTACTGTACTGTACTGTACAGTACAGTGAGTTAGGGTCCCTTTTTTACAGTACTGCACAATTTACTCTACCTTACTGTACTGTACTGTACTGTACACGGTATACGGTACCTGAGTAGACAACTAGACGGCAAAAAGCATCACCATGGCGGCAAATCGTCCAGGTACTTCTATTTTGATAGATTAAGAAAATGCAAGGAAATAACTTAATATCCTATACAGCAACCTCAGTGGTAGTTTGTACACTGATAATTAATAGAAATTACTGCTGTGCAATATTCAGTTAATAATCTACAGAATTCTTCTACTCATGCCTGACGCAAAGGCATTGCGATATGGAAAGTGCGCGATATCAGTAATAGCTAACACAAATTCAAGCGCAAAAGCTTAAAATATCAGTACGTAAATCCACACGTTGATTCACTGTACTGTATATCGTCTATCCTCTTAAGTGTATATAACGAAAATAAAACTTCTAAGGCAAAAGACGATATTCTGCACAAGATTATTAAAATCTTTATAAATCCTTGTCATGTAAAGGAACTAACGTTGCGATTAATAAAATAGAATAAATTTGATTAATCGTTGATGTTTGCTATTATTTCTAATGTTGTAGATGAGGTCGATTTAAATTTTGAAGAAAACATTGTTATTGGCAGGTAATGTCGATTAAAATTATTTAGGATAACCCCAATTATGATATACTGTATCCACTGGTAGTATCATGAAGTAATTTAAAATCTAATACCTTAAGATAGTTTCGGTACTAGAATTAAAAGTACCACAAGTACGAGTGATATATAGCAACAGACACACTATTATATTCTTAAAGATTTATATATAATGATGACTTGATAATTACTGATGGCACTGACGCTATTTATATTCATTTTATCTGTACAATATTCATACTGATGGCGTTATAACAGTTATATTACGCGAGTATATTGTAATGTTAGACCTAATGCAATATTTCATGATATTTTTTCAGGTCCAACAGACAAGATGCTAAATTTGATACAATTATTGGTCATTTAGAAGATATTATTATGGGTATGAATTTATCGGTAGTTCATGATAAAATTATGCATATACATAAAAATGCTTGAAGACCATACTTACATTGTTACCATGCGATAACTATAAGCTAAATGAATATTTTTCTCTTACGTTACTACATTTACATCCATCTAGTGTTTAGAGAAATGAACATAATTACTAGCTATTCTCGTAGTAATTTTATTATGTATACAATACATGATAAATGATGATGCCGTAAATCACTATAGGTAGTTGCCCGTTGCCATATCTAATTCTGATCAAGTAATTACATTAAAATATTACTCAGTGGATTTTGAATTAAAACTAAAGACCATGTCATGCTTATTAGCACCCAATGATGAACATACATTTATCATGCTGTAAACTAGTTGATTTATATATCGCAGACATTACTCAATATATCTTTTAAAGAAGTTCTAATACGCGTTTCTAAATTAGCATTTGGACAAAACAAATGTCTCATTGATCAGTCATGAGTCATTAGCTCATTTTTATAGATTTTTTTTATGTCATTAATTGCTCCACTATAATTCTGCTAGCGAAATCTTTTCATGAGACAGTTTTGACAAAGTAATGAGATAGCTTTCTTTAATGGAAAATATGTAGACTTTAACTTAAATATAATAATTACGCATATATATATCAATTAATTATAATTATCGACGTTAGAGGTTACGTTTTCCTTACCATTAGTTGATTAATATGTAAATGCCTTATTGTCAATACTCTGTTGTAAGTTACGCAATATAAGTCATAATATCCTCATAGGATTTTGTAATTCTTTAACAGACGGTAAGTTAATGATATCTAATAGTATGAATAATATTGTGTTGTCTTATCCTGAAGCAACTGGTATGCATGTAAATTCTATGTATCTTACCAGCTTATTCGAATAAGAAATGCTAACCGATCTTAATTTTAGAGGATGAATTTCAACAAATGGAAAGTGATTTCATGGAAAAGTACTATATGGAGTTTGAGAATACCGAAGAGAATAAGCTTATCTATACTGATATCTTTAATGAATATGTAAGTGTTTTATGTGTTACAGAATTTCTCTTTACGCTAAGAGTTTATAGTCATATTGCACACTTTAATAGGTTTTATCCGGCACTTAGCACATAAGGCAAAGGCTTTGTAAAATATTAACTACCAAGAAATTGTAATTTAAGTGTGATACAAGATTACTTTCTTAGGTTAGTACTATTGAAAAATACACAGAAGAATCATTACGAGCACGGATGCCTAATTTTTCAATGAAAGAATTTATGAAGATGTTACAGTAAGTGCTACTGAAATTAGACACAATCGATACGGAAAATTCACTTTGTGTGATATTGTATATTTGTATAGAGCATGCTATCTATTATAAACATTATCGTTCTATCGAAATTGTTACAGCACACCTAGTTTTACATCTGTTTGTTGTCATGGCGCTTTCAATACTGCTTCATTCGGATATTCTCGATTAGATGTAGTAATACGTGCTATAGTCTGCTTTTAAATTAAATAAATCGGAAATACTGTACTAGTTATTTGCTTTATGAAGGTATGTAAATATTCATTTATTAAATTTTATGTTTTGTAAATGTTACTAGTTATCACTTGTAAGCCAATTGATTAGAATATTTAATTTCTTTTATTCTTATAAGATCTCGTCAAGATCAAATTGAAGGAGAAATTTTCGACATGTTGACATCCTTCACGGACTTTTTAACATTCAAGGAAAAATTTTTAGATTACAAAGCTGTACGTTTAATACGCTATTGCAAAATTTCTGATATTACCGGTATTATCTTCTATTTGAATCTATTGACGCCCAAAAAAGATATATTACCGTACTAATGATATATAAAAATAACTTTCGTCAGCTTTAGTTTAAAATAATTAAATTCATTATGAGCCACAGTAGCTCAATACCTTATAGTGCTAGAGATTATCAATTTCTAGATGCATTGCAACTATCTTTAATTGATCAGATACAAGCGTTCCGACGCTTAAATAATAGCATATAATTGTTTGCATCTTGTATAAACTAAATCAGTTTAATTGAATGTTAACAATTTAGAGTAATAGAGCAAAGAAGGTACTGTTCCTGATCTTAGCATTGGTCCGTCTATTTCATCTATAACAATCAATCGTAATATGGGTCGTGCGAACCCCAACTTTACTATTTGCAATCAGAGTTCGCAAGCAGTCCCTATGACCTCCGTAGGATTTCCTGCAACTGTAGTTTCCAATCTACCGATTAGTCAATCCCCTGTCGGTGGTACCGGTACTACAACCGATAGATTACAAGATATCAACATAGACCAACAATCAATGTCTACAAACGATTCACCGATTGATATAGAAAACAAACATGCAACCAGCTCCGATTTTGCAATTGGAAATCAAAATACAGTGAATGTTCATCACCAGGAATTAATCGATCATTCGGAAGACTTACTAGAGCCACCAGAAAGCATGGAACTATAGATAATTATAATTAAAAAATAAACTGCTGTACATGCTACCAAATACGCTAATGTGTTTACAGAAGCGTTAAAAACGTGAAAGTGGCGTTTAGGCGATGTTTGAGACATGGCATTATCTTCATTAGCTTCCTGATAGGAATAGTTAAAAAAGCGTCAAAGGATGTTTTCTATCTTACCAGGTGGAGTTCTACTGTAATTACACAAATACTTAAATGTATCCTTGTGGACAACAAGATGATCCTTGTTTCCCTGGTTGTTGAAAATCATAGGCATGATTACTATTATATTAACATTTTTATACATTTATCATATAGTATTTAATCGATTCTTCGACTTTTTTACAGCTTCAAAAAACGTAGCTAAATTTAATATAACTGATTATTCAATTCATTTATGAAAGAGGTATTGTTCATTAACATTTGCTAGCAATATGTGTTATTACTTCATCCTGTACATGTTTAATTAAGATACTTAGGAAAAATATCATTAATAAATTTCAGTGGCGGACGTGATACGAATGTTTACTGCTAATACACATTTCGAGTACATATGATAAATTTAATTCATGAGGAGTTCTATTTGTACAAGACGTGAGTTGGTATCTCCTGGAATACGATAGGATATCATTCCGGCAAAAGTGATTAATGTACGGGCCTGACGACGTATTTCTTTAACATGCTGGAAATGAAAAAATACATCCATTTCAAGCAATGAAACGAAATCAGCTGTGAAAATATCTTTCATTTTATAATTAACTATAGTCTAACACTTCATACCATATCTCTGCCCCCATCATTTGCTCGAGATGTCAGCAAGGGATTTTGTATACTTCCAGGTCTATAATGTTCAGTTATGAGTGAAAATAAAACATCTTCTTTAGTTCCGATATTGATGTACAGTATAAGTAAAATGGACCCTCGGGCGAACCTGATAGATTCATACTGAGCGTACAGGATATTCATCGTTGCTAACAATACTTGAGGAATATTTCGTTTTATCTAAGAGATAAATTAAGCAGGTACGGCTTTAATATATTGGCGTACCATATATACCTAATCACAAGCTACTACTTGTGTAATAGAGTATCATCTCATCAATTGAACCTCATCAGCAATTTGTTTAAAGGAAGCAACTTTTTGTTCCACAGTATCATCAATCTCTAAAGGTAGTATACCAATTTTCTTAACAACCTAATAAATAAAATACGTATATAATTGTATACACTCAACAATCAGTTATGATTAAAATATACAAATTGCTTGCTTACATCAAGGGCCTGTTCGTAATTATGACCGTGAAATAAGTCGAAGAACAGCATCACATCCAAAAGTATATATAGTGCTTTAAGACGTACTCGACTTGCGAAATGGCCAAGCGATTTGAAGCTGTGTCGAAGATACATAGTTTATGAATGAAAGGGTCATACAAGCCAAAATTTAAATATTTTTCAATATGCATATCACACTTGAGGGTATCATACCGTTGAGCGATAGAAACAGCCAAATCCTGTAACCGAGATCTTGTGTTATCACTGTCATTCGATTTCGGTACGACCTGCAAGTTAATTTAACATTCAAAAGGTAAAATATTATGAACTTAAGTCAAAAAAGTACCAGGATCAGTGTAAAATATCAAAGCATAATACCTGACTAAGAAGTCTGTTAAGAATTTCCAAAACTTTTTCATGATTCTGAAGGCATGCAACAGATTAGATACAGTACATAAGCATGTTTAGATAACTAAAGAGCTACGTAGCAGCAGGTACATCAGCGAACTAGGGCGTTATACCTTTGCTAAGTCATATAACTTAATAGCTTCTTCAAATAGTCCTTTCTTTTCCGACTCAACGGCAACTTTTTCAATAACCGCCTTTGCACCACTTATGTAAAATTTATCTATACAGCCAAGCTAAAAGTTGTAGGATAAGGTTACTGTAATAATAGTGAACATTGCTGGTGAATTTTTCAACTAACTTTTTTACTTCCATCGCTGTTTAAGCTGCCTAGAAGCATATCAAATTCTCTGGTTTCCAAAGCCAATTCGCTTAACGAAGACTCAAAAACATCTTCACCTTGAGGGTTTTTTATTCCTCTAAAAATGTACATTGTAGGAGTCAGTCACTGGTGATCATTCGTTCTCAAATTATATACGTACTTCAATAAATATAGATATTGTAGCGCTTCTCTTGTATTTGTGCCTTCGAATTTTCTTATGTAGGACATTATTAAACGACAAAAATTCAAACGTCGAGAAGGCTGAGGATCCGAAGGTTCTACTGTAACTGAAAGATAGCCAGGCAAATAAAAAACGTTAGTTAGATTTAGTGATTGTATTTATGTAATAAAGTGTCTATCGAAACGCAACGACTTCCACAACTTGAAGGAAAATCACTTTATTACAGTAGTTACGTCTTCTACCAAGGACTAGATTATCTATAGCTACTCTGTCTTCGGAGATAAAATCTCCTACTTATATACAATTGTGTACAGAGTATCTTCTTGACACATAAATCATTATCTACCTTAATAAGGCTAACATCACACCTCTAGCGTACCTGGAGGTGCCAAGCAGTATGACTAATAACTTTTACAATCCGTATTGCAATTACTAATACAAATCCTCACATATTTAATCTCACTCTACGATCTAGCACCTATACAAGTGTATCTATCTTAATTAGCCTAGTAATTACGTCATGCACGATATTCACACATACTGTATATAATCTTAAGCTATATTTGGGCTGCACTACAATTTAATAACGAAGTCTTACGTAATTGTGATTGGGATGACTTAGACAAAGAGAGTATATGGGCTTCATATAATGAGATGGCAAAATGGATACTATGAGTTCGATATCTAGCGATCCTAAATAAAAACTCGATAGCCTGAATATATTTTCAGATATATCGGTTATGCAAAGACATTAATGTTAGGAACAGTGAGCTATGAAAAGATCTTGAATACAATCGAATAAAGAATACTAACATACCGCTTCAAACTGCATTGTAAGAAGAAGCACTCTGAAGTACAGTAACGGTTGTTGATATGCATTAAAGTGAGATTCTCCTGAAGAAAGAAACAGGAAAACCGTATACTATTAGCAGCTAAATTAAATGAACACTGCATAATTATATAAAATGGAGATATACCATAATGATCTATCAGTAACGTTTGCAGTTGAGGAAGTGTAAAAACCTCCTGAGATTGACTGTTGTCTTCGTTTGGTCTAAGTTGACAGAGCTAATATAAAGTGGAGATCGAATTTCGTTACTAAGAAATGACGTGGACAACATTTATGTACGTATTAGATATAGTAATTCCATGCCTTAAGCCAAATATAATCTTCTGTTTTAGTTGCAACTTCAGCGTGACTATCAGTCGGGTCACAACTTCCCACAATACAGTAAACAATTCTACAGCAAAGGTATAATAAGACCAAGGTTACAACTGTAGCAGAACAATGATGACAATTACTAGTAAATTCTATAACTTACAACCGAAGCTAACTTAAGAGAAAATGACTATCATACATTATAATTATATATAAAAGCCAGTACATGATTGTATTATTATTAATTTAAAATCGGTAATTCTTGACAATCTGTTAAAATATCCATTTAAAAGGATAATATCCTTCTATTTGAAAATTGAGCTGACCCAATTATAACTCATAATGTAAATAACAAACCAGCCATAAATATCATACCGTTTGAAGGGGTCAGAGCTATGCCCTTCAGATCTTTTGTACATGAGTTGCACCTTAGTTGCAGATGGCGCAGAAATACTACCAGAGGCAATACCAGAATTTAATATTGATTACAAGCTATTCATGATTTATAAATTTTATTTCAACGGTGTAATACTGTACCTGTGATTAGGGCTATTAGCAAATTCTTCAAGATAATTTGTAATCTCGCCTAGATATTGTCTACAAAATATATTTTATTTAGTACTAGTTAAAATAATGGAATTCTATATCAAGTCAAATATATCTTACAGGTCAGCAGCGTTCAACATCGCTTTTAAGTCTCCGCATCGAATACAATAGTAAATCATAGCCCACACTGGCTTATCATCAACTAGACCGTCCTAAATATTACAATAGTCATCAGCAACGATCATAAAACAAACCCTGGCTAACGTCTTACCTCTAAATTCAAGACAGAATTAGGCATAGTGATATTCAGAAAACTTTTTACGGTATGATAAGTACTCGGGACACCACCTAACTTTGCTTGATGTAAGTTTCCATAAATTGTCTTTTTAACGTAATCTAAATATCTATACAGAAAGTTACATTAAGAGCGATGTAAAGGCCCACTAAAATTTGATCATAAGCTTACCTCCTTTCCAAACAATTTCGTGCCTTATTTATAAACAACATTTGTGATTCTGCTTCATACCTTAGAAAATTAATCCTCGATCAGCACGGAATACTTCTATTACAATAAGTTTACCTACTATTCTAATAGAGGCAACAAGATTCTCTTTACCGTAGTGCTAGCGGATCGATAACCTCAGTGATTTCGATATCGGCTATTTCATAAATTAGATCCCAAATATCTACAATGTTCTATGGAGATAGAGAGCTCGTTAACTGCATGTCTGCATGTTTAAAGAATGCTATTTTGGCTAATATTTACCGCGTCAGCCTCCCTAGAAGCAGCTTCTCGTAATGCCTGAATAAGATTAACTTGCTCTCCATTAATGAGCCTTTCATTGCGAATGTATATCTAAAACAAAATTTTTAGTAATACAATTATTAAAAAGGCCAAACATACAAAATATTTCATATTATTGACATAGAAATCTACCTCCCGTGCATAAGAAAGCTCTATCGCATCCATCACACCTTGTTTTTCAATAATTGCAACGCTACTAGGGCCCTAGCCAATAAATTATAATTATCATATTACTTAGTAATATATAAATCTATCGATAAATATAAAAATTACTAACATCATTGTCGTCAGTTACAGCAATATCTTCTCCGCTACCGATTAGATGATTTAAAATTTTTACTTTCTCTTTTTCCCATTCTGTGACCATATATTGCCATTGATGTTGCTCTGCCATTTCCATTGTCTTAAATATAATGAAAGATTAATGGGCAAAAATTGTACTAAATACTTTATGATTAAACCTAAAATACTATTAATCTCCATGCATGCTTGCGAAAAAGAGTTAACTACATTTAGTTTAGAATTTTTCTCTATAATTAACTTACATTTCGTCTAGCTTCTTCTATAGCAGATAACATAGCATTTTCACGTTCGTTCCTTATGAAGCCCTTGTCAAAAGAATATGTTATAATTATACAACGGAATATTCGTCCAACTAGGTATCTTTGACTTGTCTTAAGCATTTTAGGATCAAGAAATGGTGATAGAATTTGTCATAACTCAATTACCTGAATATCCGAATCACTAATCGGTTCCAGAGGATGCAAGTTAGCGGATGTTGCCAAAATATCAACGTCTTGGTCAAGATCAGTCAAATCGACACCATTAGATCCTAATAGCATAGACCTATCGAGTATCCCAAAAGTAAATGTTTTCCGTTACGAGCAGGATTTCCAAAGACAATTTGTAAATTACGAGGTATAATTTTAATCTGTGTTTCTCTCATATTATATTATAATTATTATCATTTATGGTTATTTTAATAAGTACTTTCACTATCCTTTTAATCGGTATTGAGTTGCAAGAGCAAAATTTTAATTTAAGGTGTAGCAATTAATCATTCATGGGGATGACTTTATTATATAATCGTAGTGTAGCGTACACCATCATAAATTTCATCGTGAGAATCTATACTGTAGTTTGGACAGCAGACTACAGAAAGATAAAAAGCTACTAGCTACACCAACAGCAGTTACGAATTTGGCACTACCATGCTTTATGGACCATAAATAAATTAAATTACGGTACATTTATCAAGAGGTTAGCCAATTTTAGATTTTCCGACCTACAATATTACAGTACTGTCGTGGAGGTATTTGGTCGAAAGGTAAACTGTATTCGTAAGATCAATATTGAAGACAAGAAGGTTAAAATACTATAGAAATTAAAAAAAACCTTTGTACCTGAGTTAACCGCTAAAATGTAGCCATCTGATGTACGCACTATTTAAACGGCAACGTATACATGTGTTTGCATATAATGCTGTGCTACCATAGCCTGTATTCGACAATCTTTCAGTTTATATAGCATAATACGAGAACTTCCAAACGTGGTCGAAAGGCTGATAGTACCGTATCGTGTTCGAATTCATAGTACAGTAGTATACATTTTACGGAATATTAATTTTATAGATCATGAATTCTCGTATTATTCTTACAAGATATGCAATGATCTCGACTCATACCGTACATCATGATAGTTATTGCTCTACTGTACTGTACTCTTGTCTGTACCGTACTATGCACGTATGCCGAACTACGAACTGACAGTTCAAGAAAGCATGGATCTAACTTTGATGAGGACAGGAAGGCTTACGTTAAAACATTACAGTAACTAAACAATAAAAACGAAGTACTGTAGTAGTAAAATTGATATTCTTTCCTTTGATTTTAAGGGCTTGTATAGAGTAATAAATCATTCGATAAATACGATTAAAGGCTCATTATTATTACGCGTAAAATGTTACTATCAGCTATGGAACATGTAGCTTGTACTGGAGCATAGTAAACGACTGTTCGACTTACGCTTTTGCTTTTACATCTTTCATTTCACCGGTAGCATGAATAGTTTTACTCTTCAATTTCTGTACCGTTTCTGAGATTTGTAATAAACTTCGTTCCACCCGAGGCAATTCTAAACCATGTTCTATATCAGCATTCAGCTGTTCGGCATGCTGAACAAGTTCGTCGAACGTAACCGCATTTGTATTCGAAGCCATACTTGATCTTACTTTTTGCCGCCTTTTGACCTTAAATCGGTCTAAAGAGAACTGTTGAACGTTGTCTACAGCTCACGGATATACAGTACATTGCCGTACACAGTATGTAACAGCCATTGGTACTGTATCTCAACAGCGTGCGCAACTCACTCACCGTCAGGTCTATGCGCAACTGTTCAATGGTTCAGTAAAGAACAGTACAGTACAGTACTGTACAGTACACAATACAGTACAGTACTATATTGTATTTACTGTACTGTACACTGTACCGTACAGTACAGTACAATATTTGTACTGTACAGTATGCTGTACTGCACGCTTGATAAGACGTGAAATGATGATTCACAGAGCTGCTAAAGATTTAGATATCTGTAAACTTACCTAATATTCTGTTTTCAGTATATTATATTTTATATTATGTATATATAACATGTACAATGGTAGAATATACTCGTATATTACTGTCGTCTTTTGTACTATTTACGATGAGATCACTTCTCCTAAGTTATTAACTTTACTTTATTTCTCATAGTAATCCGTAGATACCTAAAATCTGTTTACGCTAAACTTGTTTACTTGTCAAAAGGGTAAGAGAATGCTATATAAATGAGCGCATCTCTTACCCTAGGCATCTTTCCCGTAGGTCCCTCCGACTATGCGCTATGTGCTTTGGATTTTAAATAGACGTAGTTATTCAATTTCTTCTCGACTCTGTTCTCCGAGTTTGAACCCTTGTTGCAATTGCTGCCTTGGGACAATTACGTACGGGAGACTAAAATAGTGCAATAAAAGCTCTTTTAAAGGGGTCTAGGGTCCACCAGGTCCCCAATTAAAATTTTCGTAGATTTTTATATTTCCTAATCTATAAATTAAGACTTAAGTTAAAATAAAATGATTGAAATAATAGATGGTATACTCGTACTCTATTAAATTTAGATAAGCATAGTATGGAGTATCTTACTTTTAGAAAATACAGTACGCATACTGCGTACATTCGTTCGACGCAAAAACTAGGTGCGTATACGTAATTACGAATATGCTGTACAATGTATCAGTCAATCCATCCAAAATATCTCATATATTATATGGTAAGGCAATATCTTTGATTTTATTATTCTCAATCCATCATCAAGAATAAAAAATACGAGTTTATAAATTAACATGCGGTTATTTTTACTAGATCTTTATATTGTAGGACAAATCAGTTAATTCGCATAAATGCACATATCCATTTACATCAATCAGTGATAAATATATTGTAATACTCGTATAGATTACTTTATCAGTACGCCATACATCTCAATGTTTGGTATACCGTAGGCTACGGTAAATTATTAATTTAAGCTGTAAAACTAACATTTGGAAATACTGTATGTATAAATGTCGAATGTATGTTTTTGTATATAAAAGTTAAGTTCTGTGCTTATTTATGGACTCATAACCAGTATGGTTACGGACCTACCTTAACATCATACGAATTCATAGTGACTAAATATGAAGCTAGACATTAGCTGTCTAAGATCTGATGTACGATTTAAGCTGTATTGTGTGTATACCTGACAGATCTAACTTGGCAACGGCTAAACTTTTTTAACAGCAAAAGTATTGCTGTTAACCCTTATTGACTATCTATCATTCACACTTTGATATTTTTCATACAGCTTACTATAATTGAAAATAGTTGGTTATAAAGTGCAGATCTGTTTGTGTTGACGATATCATGGGCTAAATTTATCAAGCACTATATAGCATAAATACCAGTAAAAGTGTTGATATTACTCAATTTCTAAATCAAATACTGCACTCTCATCAACTACTTGTTGCGATGTAATATACAGTATAATAAATAAATATATTTACAGTTTATAAGCCGTAAAGTGTCAGTCTTAATTGATAAGCTTGCCTAATGAATACTGGGCAAACATTAAGAACAATTTCATACAAACTAAGGAAAACTTTCTAAATAGTAGCTTTAGAAGACGACCTCTACAATGTTTTAATTGTGTGACTAGAAATAACATATTTTTATTTCTTTTATGTCAATTATAGAACTATAGTTATAATGGTCGTTTGATAAGAAACGATTTATAAGAACATACTATTTCGTGATATGCCATGAAATGACGACGAGCACATAATGTTATTAAGAGAAGTACTTAATTAAATTTTAGAGAGATTATAGAGGAATAATTAACAAATAAGCAACGAAGAATTGCGTCTTAACATAAATACAGTAAACATTGAATATATGTAAATAGAATGCTACTAATGGGTTACGGTTTTATACTTCATTTGGCATTACTTTATCAGTAATAAGTAAATAGCTCCAGAGCAGAAATATATTTAAGAGCCTCCATACAAAGTAAATATATTTACCAATACAATACATAGCAAGCGTGTATAAGCAGTGACCGAAGATCATTATGTCCGAATAGTACGAAAATAATATCGCCAATTTCGAAGGGTAGGCTAGCTACACTAATACTGAAAAGTACAGTATATTATTCAAAATTAGGTCAATTTTTTTACCCATTTGAAGTTTTATATATTTACATCTGTAAAGCAATAAATTATTTGATTCATTTCTAGTCAAACTCGAATACGATATATTAGTATATCTTAGTTTTCTGCAGCTGTTTCTGTCTTAGACTTCTTTCACAGCAACCAGAAAATGTCCTATTAATTTATAAAATTTCCTTCCATTAAACGTTAAGATCGCCAGTCCTATGTATCAGGGATTACAGAAATCAAATATGTATAGCTGAAAGGGTAAAACCGTAATATCTTTTGATAAACCTATAGCTCACCATTTCTGACTAATATAAACCGGGCGATAATCGTCCAGATTAACGTCTATTACCCAAGCTTCGGTGTATCTTACATCAATATATTCCAGATTGGGTAATTTTGCCTGATAAGATTTATATACGTCCATTATTATCTATTACACGAATACTTTTTAAAACATTTTAACATATCAAGCTAACACAAGGCATAAAAGTATTTACCATTAGATTTTCAAATCCTAATGTGGTCAATTTAGTGCTATTAAGATTCAGTATTTTAAGAGATTTCATTGCTAGTATTGGAAATGTGATATTTAATTAAAGTTAATCAGTTATTCTTAATTTTACTGCTAATGTTTTAAGAAGGTCTATCTTATCTATGTAGCCACGAATGAAATAACTAAAACCATACACGTTAATGCTTCTATTCCTTTGTCTGTTGCCGGTGTTTCGCATAAGTTTAAAGATTCTAGGTTGTCTAAATTCTCACAAAGTATCTTCAATCCTTTATCCCCAAACTATCGATGCAAATAACAAAGTAATGTGTTCAATGCTAGATGTAATAAGTGATATTGTGCACAATTGCAGGCTTTTTAAAGCTCACGATAACAGGAATCTATTATAGTCTATGGTAATTAATTAAGGTAATCGTCCTTACTTGGGTTGACCATAAATTTAAATGTGTAAGTCTGCGAAGTTTAATTAATTGTTCGGCACAAGCACTGGTTACGTGAGTGAATGCCAACGATAATGTTTTTAGGTTATTGTATTCTCCGGTTGCCAAGATATCGGCTAGATCTTTATCCTGGAAATTAATTAATCACATATTTAACGTTGATATAGTATCAATTGTAATCAATTTGTATAGCATGTCTGAATAAACTATATTTCAATTACGCAGGTAAGAAGTACATTTTTACAGCACCCACTTACTGTAGATTTTGCAGGAACAGTTAAATGCAGATATCCTCCTTTTTGTTGCTAAGGAAAAGAAAATAAAGTTAGAAAGTGCAATTAATAATGTACTTCAAGATCATCTAAATGATTACCATTCTTGAAAGCTCTGCCTTTCTTTCATACATCATTTCTAACTCGTGACGACTAGCTTCTGTACTTTGAAGACTAGAGATGATTTCTTCGTAGCGTGGATCAGTTTCAGGAATTACATCTCTCTCCAATATAAAGATTACGGTCTTCACAAATTTAAAATTGCGTTAGTTTTAGAAGACGAAAGTAATTAACTGCAGGAATTGTTGCAATACTTACCTTAATCATTTGCAAATTGCCGCGTTTGCAAATAGCAATCATAGGAGTGATAAATTCTAAGAAATTTCGAAGCGATGGCTTATCTCTACAACAGCAACTGATAAGCTTGCATATCTAGATGATAAAAAGAAGATAAAATAGCGGATTAAAAATTTATTGAACACAAAAATTATAGTAAGAATATGAGCAAAATTTCATACCATAGCAGCAAATAAGTCCCCATCATCACGACAAGCAAGATTATCCGGTGCAAATAGATGAATCCAACCACGTCTGCCTTCGCGAACATTTAAGACAGCCTTATGTACCTGCAAATATTACGAGTACAAACGAGTTGAAAGTTACTTCTAGTCTTTGGTGATAGGTTAATTAAATAGCACAATATCATTGCAGATAATAAAGTGATCATACTCTTACTTCGCATCTGTCATCTTTAACACATATCCGTAATAGTCTCTCTAAACAACTAACAATGGTAAATTTATAGCCAATTAGGTTTCGAATTTGTTTGCAAAGTTCTAAATATCATATAAACTTATGTTAATGCTACCTTAAAAATCGATCATGATGCAGGGCCCTATATAATAACAGAATAGTAAGATTAAATACACATTTGTAATATATACAGTACTTAACTGTCGTAAGATATCCTGCGAAATATTACTAAACCAAATCAGCTAGAATGACAAAAAATTGATTTTTTCTACTTTTGTATGATTACGTAACTTACTTTTCAGGTATTGGGATTGGCTGTAAGATGGCTACAATATGCGGTAACCAATCGTTGTATTGGAATCTATAAAAGGTATAAATTTAGTATGAATTTAGTCTGTGAATATCAAAAATGGGTCTTAAAGAATACATTTTATATAAGTTTTATTTCAATACTTACATTAAATCTAACAGAGTAATATAGGTATCCAAATAACGCTCTTTAGAAGCATTATCACTGAGAATAATTAATAATCGTAAATATAAAGTTAGATTTCTTAGTTTTTGCTGCTAATAATCGATAAACTATATAAAAATAGTACAGTAATTACATTTCTTCGGCTTTGGTTTGAAAGATTTTATAAATAGCTGCTAATGAAAGACATGCTAGGTTAGGAAGAACACGCGGATGCGGGCATATTTCGCTAATTTCGTGCACTCTATTCGATGTAAATTTAGAATTAGGATTATTACTCTCTTATCTTCTACAGTTATGTATTTGATTGACAGCTTTTAAGCTATAATGCTCACGATTCAATAAATGTCTGCAATGAGTAATCATTCGACTCTTGACAACTTAGAGCAAATATAAAATCTTGCAGAAAGGATCGATAATATGGGTATTTGCCATAATCCTGTTTATCGTAGGAGGTAAGAAAGTGTTACCAATATATTAATTTAACAAACATATTCCAATTAAATTACACAATTCCTATACATACCAAGTTTTTCTTTAAAAGTATCACAACTGAGGGTTCAAATGCGTCTATTAGGTAGCTTGGACAAGGAGAACGTTGACATAACTAAAATTTGAAAGAATTGTTACAAATTTTAAGCTGAGAAGATAATTCTAATTCTAGCATGGTACTTCTCAAAGCTTTAATAATAATATGGTAATTATTAATCGATAATCATTACGATAAGTATCTGGGTATAGATTAGCAGACCTGATGAAACATTTGACAGATTACTTCTGTAGGAGCAACTCTTTCCGTAAGGGGCGAGATAGACTGTGCGATAGAACAAAGTTATCGGTGTTAGTAATCACCTTCGCTAACTAGTTTCAATCTTAGTATATTATTACAAAAACGACTTAGTATAATATTAAACATCTTTTACCAAGCATAATTTCTCTTTCATACTATGAGATAACTTATTTCCGCGCTATTCAATAACAAAAGTTACGTGATTTTGTTTAAGTGCTTAGAAGCAAGAATAATTTGATCGATTTCAATTAAAAATACTTACTTGCATTAGTAACATTGAAACAGCATCAATGGGTTCAGAGTATATGCTATCTTCCATAGGAGCTTTAAGCGCTATAGAGACGATATTCTATAAAATAACGTAATTGTCTATTATGTTCTCATCCTTAACATACAGTATAGTACTGCAAGCCATATCCAAGTAGCTAAAGCATAGGTAATTGTCTTTAAGCTTCTAGGAGTTACTGAGTACAGCATATTTACGGTTTTTATCGCATACTAATAGTTACTGTAGCTAGCTAACATAATAATACTAACCAGTACTTCCTTTATGATCGTGACGGGGTCTTCACAGGTATTGATAATGAATTTAAACCTTTTCATTGCGATCTATAAATCAAATCATCAAGTTTGATATTAAAATGATATAAGTATAAAATGGATTTCTTCATCTTTTCAAACATGCGAGCATATATAATTTTCTTGGAGGATAATTACACATCAGTCTTATCGAGTACTATCATCTCACTCTAAATATTTTAAATGCTTTGCACCTATGAATATTAGAAATTTTATAGCCGTTTAATAAAAAGATTTGCTATAAAACAATACCCTCCATTTGATCGAGATTAACCATTGTTGTTGTAAATCGAGTCTCGGAACCTTGTATATCGAGAGAAGATAAAATTTAAATTTTTGACATTTAAACCAATTTAAACTAGTGAGTGATATTCACTCTGGTAAGTTGCTCTTAACTTACTTGCAACAGGACAGCTTCGCGGCCAAGCCACAAACGGATACAATATCGTTGTCTTGTATCCCAAGAAGATATAGCACTAACACTCTCAATGTCCTCATACAAAATTCTTCCGGCCATATAACCCGAAGGCTAATATTAATGAAATAAAGAAATTAAGATAACTTTATGTTACGATTTAAACTCAATTTTTGTTAGAGAAGTATTAAACTGGCCTAACTAACTTTAAAAGTAGCCATGTCAGATTTTTGCTATGAACAATCAAAACCGAAAGTAAAGCATTCTTTCCCAGTTATTAAGTGAAATCACCGTGACTGTCGTAGTAGGTATACGATAGGAGTATAGTCATTTATTAATTCTTATACTAGCTAGGGCTGATATGAGAACAGTAGTATCATGATTTACCGATTATAATTTACTGATTGTACTGGTATATCTCAGGATTAACAGTAAGCGAGTAACTGTGGTGTGTGTTATGGATTGTATAATGCACCATAGCTCGGTATTGTATGTAAGTATATACATGTAATATTCTATTGTACATTGCATATATGAATTTAGTATATCTTTACGTTTGTTTTCAGATGAAATTAATTGCTACTTACAATAGATTGTCATTATCACTATGTAAAATCACGAAATGGCAACATATAGTGAAGGTATTGACGTAATATAAAAAGGTATGAATCTAATCATTTAATAGTATCTTAAATTTGATCGCAGTCTATATTACGGGGTGATATTAAAAAAGTAGAGTTGTCTTGTTAGACTATCGGTTAAAAGTCTTTGCATCGGCGTAAGCGATTTACTTACTTAGTTTGATTAATTTAAAATTACAGTAAAACTACACGGTACGTCTTTGGATACGTTTTGCAAGTTAATTGTTATGGAGAAAACAGCTGTCAATTTATTCAATTGAGGCATTGTTTGCTAAAAACAAACTCATACCTATAGCAGTTCAATCAGATGTCAATAAATAACCTACTAAAAATTTCCTTTCAAGTTATCAGATATTATAACTTTTTACGTTTATGTATCTATATTGCGATATTCTGTTTGTTAGCGAAATATGCGTGAGTAGTATGACTAAGTGAGAATAAAGCAACCATATAAAGTATTCTCAACAAAAATTGTTAAAGCAGCATTTTAAATAGATCGATCTATCAAAATTAATTTTAAGTTACTTCATCATCTCATACTCATATTTAAGTGTAATATACCACATGCGCCAATTAATCTGAGATAGATAACATTTTATTCTTTCCATTAATATTGTAAACACTTCCTTATTTAATAACCATGTTAACGTCAACATCGGTAGAAGGAAAGATTAATGCAGTGTTAGATAGTTATGCAAAGGTATAGCTATTCTTATTTTGTCACAAAAACTACATAAGTATCATCAATGAATGGGCCCTTTAATACCGATAGGATAGGCGGTAACTACTTATTGTAGACAATACACAATGCATCAGTCTATCACAAAATAAAGACGCCTATTGTCTCAAAATTACATAGCTCATTTTCAATTACGATTTATAATATTTTTAAAAGTCATCTTTGTGTACCGATACTTTAGTATTTATTAGTTTCAATTTTTGTTGTGCAAACGAAAAGCGAGTAAAGAATGATTTTTTTTCTAAGGTTTGATATTAAGCAAAGTATTGTGATAATATATTATTTTAATGATTATACCCGAATAAAAAAAGGTAAATGCGCAGAACTACAGTATAAATTAGAGAAATGATTAAAACAGGAGAAGTGAAAAAAGATTTCATTTTAACTTATTGACAAAGTTGCTTTTCTAATGATTTTATCAATTTCTTTCGTCATAAAATAAGCAGAAATGCGTACTAAGCGCTGATAATTCTGCTTACATTAATATTCTGACTGGTTGCCATTATCACTACTTTAAAACATAATGCTATCACTTATAAATATTCGTTCTTTCTTCCCAATTAATATCTTGACTTAAGGAATCTTTTATAATTTACTATTGCATATTAGCAAATGACGATATAATTAACTACAAAAATTAAAAACTTTAGTCTATTAAGCCCAAATTGTAAAGAGTAAAAGATGAAGCAGGACTAGTCTTTGATGTGATATACGTATATTTCGTTAGCTATTCCCATCACGCACACTATGTCAATCCGAGTAACTTAATAAAGAATAAAAGAATCAACCCAAAGGACAACTTAGAGAAGGTTGACAAAAACTATCAATAGCATTTTTGTAATATAAATTGTGATGATTTTTCTATGCCATTACAGACATCAGACAATAACTTATCAATTTCACAAATAAATTTAACATTAGCTTCCAAAATAGTAAAATTTTAGTAAATACATCCTATAAAGTAAAATATTTATTGCAAGCGAAGTTAAAGATAAATTGAAAGTTTGATAGTATGCTGTATAGTTCAAGTAACGAAACTGAAACTATAAAATAAGGCCATAAAGATCGCCTATAATGTAAACGTTGAGGGCAATATTATAGCTGATAGCTAGGATTTGAAATTTTATAATGAATAGTTTTTGTTAATGGAAACGTTCATTTAAGTAAAGTAACTTAATTTTTCTAATTGGAAGTATATTGTCAGCTTTATGAATATTTGTAATTGAGTCAAATTCAAATCAATTATCTGATATCTATGAAATTATATTACGTGCGATTAAAAGTGATTCGCAGTGCCCTAGAGGAGAAGCCTGAAGGTAAAAAGTTCAGCACTTGACTTATTTGTGGGCAGGTCTATGTTTCATCTAATATCATAGGTATGTGCATGTGCATATTGATTATCTGCTATGTGAAACTACTTTAAGGCTATTAAGTTGATTTAACAGTAGAAGTACTGTTTTCAAATACAGTAGATAATTTAAGCGCGACAAAAATTTTTAACCTTTGCTTTTAATATGGCATCATGTAGTAGTAAAAGCGAGTTCATTTCACTTGCTATGATAGCGTTGTCTGCTTTACATAATATCAGAAATTTTTCGGGCTAGTTGTTGAAGATTATTTTATAATTCTTTATTCCAATCTAGTAAAGTAAACTCGGGGCAAATATGTGCCTTAATTACAATAGAAAGGCTGCCTTTCATATTATAATCATCTTGATACATGAAACTAAACTGAAACAACAGTAATATCATTAAAATTTTTGCAATTTTTTGCCGCAAAGTGATAAGATTAAAATCAAAGAAATTGTAAAAAATTTCGTAAAATTGGTAATTTATACATTCGATAGTTTTATCTCTTGTAGTGCGTAAAGTATTTCCATCAGATTTTATGCAGTGCTTAGTTTTCCAGTGAAACGAATTGTTATAATTAATCATTCTGGTGCATTTACTGAAAAGGCTTACATTTCGAACATGTCAGAAAGATTCCGTAGCTCATTTAACAAGTAAAAGAAAGTTATTAAATTTTCCTGCGTAATTTCGCATGGGCTATGCAAGCTCCAGACTTCAGTGATGTCTAGGATAAAGCTATCAATTGATATTACAGCTTTAGAAGATTTTTCGAACACGTATTTCAGTACCAGAGATTAAGTCATGCGAGGTCATTTTAAACAGGGGTCAAAAGTTCTTTAATAGAATTTAAACCAAGTGAATCTATTACCCAAAATCACTTAATTATAAAATTTTTTAAAGCGTATGGCCCACTTACATATGATTTGGATATCACATAATGAGACAAGAACTTCATATAATTTATATACTGTGATATCTGTCCTCATTTTTTATCAAATCTTTGTTACCTAAGAGCTATTCCTGATAGAAGCTGGTGACCGTAGTAAATTACAAATGACATATAACAGAATCAATTAAAAAAAATGCGGAAGGAGACATAAGGAGCAGAAAACTTTCAGCTTGACATAAAAAATTATCGTTGATGCGCATTCTAGTATTGCTAGTAACGAAAAATTTGAAGCGATGTAAATAAAAATATATGAACATGGGGCCTATTGAATCGAGATATATATTCAAAGTAAAATACAATTTAATATGAAAGATAGGCTAGCACTACTACTTTTATTACTTACTTTAGATGAGATAATACAGCTATCCATAAGCAGTAGATGATGTTTTTCCCATCGACGTATAAGATTAGCCTTTAGTAATAGCTTTCCAGTTAAGGTGTCGGGATGTTGTATTCGGTATAATAAAACCGTATTTTCTCTTATAAGGGTGTATTTCATCTTGCTTCCTTTTAACTTGAAACGGGTGATTTATGAGCATCGAATAACAACCAAATTTAAGATACGTTTAAGGCGAATGCTGTACTTTCGAGTCGGTAACTCCTAAAGCCAAAGAGACAATTAAAATATTTGATAAAAGCTTCGCTGCAATGTAATTACCGAACTTTAGTCTGGAATAAATTGATGTCACAGCCCCACCATAGCAACCGTCGTTGCTATAGAAGACTATTGTTAGCAAAGACGTCATTCCTTATTATATTCTTAGACAAATGTTTCCACACAGCGCTATTAAAATTCCACAAGATTTTTAATGTATTGCCTGCAATAGCTGAAATTAGTTAACTATGACGAAACTGTCATAACTTTAATAGTTCTTAATTGCAGGAATCAAATTAAAAAATATGATGGCCTTCTATTAAAGGAGATTTCACTATAAATGATATTACTTTTAAGAATTTTTTGTCTATTGCATAATTTCGTGAGAAACAAATTTTAAAGTTCGGACAATACATATACTTGAACACCCGCTATTCTAAAAAAACACGTATGTACACATAGTTTTATTATAAATGCAATAACTTAAATGAAAAGGTGAGAACAAAAAATATAAATGAGTAAGATGTAATGATTCCTATTGTAATTCATTATGGTGACAATTATGGAATGATCTATCCAGCCACTGTATCAGTATTACTACTGACTTACTGTACAAGTATAATTCTGTTAGCAAAGGGAACATACATGTATGACAGCAGTTCAGTAAGATGTATTTCCAACTCTTGCTAACCTACATTTTTCATCAACTTGAAATTGAAGTTTTTGGAGTCATCCTAACAACCGACTTACATCTTGTTATGAAAATAAACATTGACTGGAAAAGAAACTAATTTGCACCAATCTGACTGAAACAACAATCTAGAACGTAGTCCGTTTATTAGTCAATATGGAGTATCGTATTGAATCGTATTCTTACCTTATATAAATAGTAATACACGGCAAATTAAAATTTTTAATACATATACATTTTTCGCTTCAAAATTCTGATTAATGGAAATGTATTAGCAGGATTATAATAAAAAAGTTTATCTTGTAGCTCATACTACTTAGAAACATAGTTAGATAAGTAGCTAGTCTGATGTTCCTCCTAGCACCGTAGGATAGAACTTTATAAATTTTAGAATAAAGTAACCACATCAGAAGTTGATGGCAGTAAATAATTTCGACTGCGTCACGGGCACACTTATTACATTGTAGTGTAGCCATTACCTATATATTTCCGATTTATTAAGTGATATACCGTACAATGAATGTTGCCATTATAGAAATTATACTTTACAGCAAGTTTCTAATGCGAAACATACTTCATTACAATATTAAAAGTGGGCGGTGCCATTAAAAATTGTTAGCATACTGAGTACAGTACCGGGAACTAATCGCGAATATTCAAAGACCGCTGAAAATAAAATAAAGCTACTTTATTTCAGGGATGGCCGAATACGTACATTAATAATAATTATAATATGAATGAGCGCGGACCGGTAAAACTTTTCTTCAGTTTTATTTGTTCTACGTTATCATTCTGAACTCATCCCTTTATTTATTTAGACAATTACTGCTTGTATGAATATGTGAATCATTTTATCTAACAAGAAATGTCGTGAAGGGAAGAATAATTATAATTACAGTATACCAGAAAATCACTCATCTATTTAAGCTATAGCTCCATAATGAAACGGCAGTATTACGAATAAATTCAGAATTTCGATCAGTTCAGTTTGCGATTGATAAAATATTTATATACTAGTCGTCAGTGTAAATTAAATCACCCAAAATTGGTCTCCAGTGACGATTGTTTTATGCTGTGTAGATTATGCTATTTTACCAAATCATACCGTGAATTGCAGTACCTGTAGCATTAAGTGCATTTGTTTTGTATCTGTGTAACTGACTGAAATTAAGAATAGAAGCTTAAGCAATTCGTGATTTACTGGAAAGCTGACATATTCAGAATTTGTTACGGTAATTTTTAAATTGTCTCATTAATTAATACCATCAAATGCTAATGCCATCAATTGTTCAAAATAAAAATCCTAAATTTTCACACAGGAGAAAAATAAAATGAGACGAAATATCGGTACTTTTGTGTGCGAAATCTAGCGTAATTAATTTTACTAACTTTAAATTGTATATATAATTGTATAGGGTTAAATAAATTGCAGTTTTGTACCGTACCTAGCTATTCAGTATGATATAAAATACATTGTAAGGGTAGGTATTCGATATCCAATCCATACCTCTATAGTCCAGTCTTCGACGAAGAGGCCATATAATACATACGCGTACAGTAGACACATCGCTAATAAGAATTCTAACCTACTGTACAGTACGCCGTAACAACATTGTGAATTGGTATTAATGACTTTACAGTATTTTATATACGAATGCCGTTATTTCTATTACTGATCTGATATATTCAGATATCTCTCATCAATCGTTCAATACACTACAAATTCCTGTTCAACAGAGATCATATTGTGCAGGATAATATGACATAAAACTCGTTTATGATCTTCGGTTACAATACTGTATTAAATCATTGCTCTCGTCTTTACTATTGAATTTGCAGTCCATTTCGCCAAGCATCGGACCGCTGCATATACGTTACAAAAGGAGCATTTGTAATTGGTAGTAAGCGTATAGTATACTCGTATACCTGTATTTTGGAATAACTATTCATTAAATCTCTATCTAAAAACGGGAATGCCGCAGTGGGACTGTATGAACATGTACTTACAGTAGGTACAATTGAAATACACGGTTAGATTAGAAAAGAATAAGATAGTTAATAGTTTTAATTCTCCAAATCTCTGGAATAATTTGCCACAAGAACTGAATATATATGGTTAAAAATGAAATATTGTTGCTGTATTTTCCTTTGTAGGATTTCTTATACCGAATAATGTTTGCAATCACGATTCTACATAGTGCTTTTCATGAGCTTATAACAAGTCAAACTTTCATAAAATAAAGATGACTTCTCTGCAAATAAGTATACATGTATTTTACTAAAAGATTGTAGTACCGCTGGAATGCTAAGTATTTTTTTGCAATACGGAACTTTTAAAACGGCGAAGTTTTATTAAAAACACTTATTGGATTGTGAAAACTACTGAGTAGAGTAAGGGTTGCTGTGGTACTCGGCCAGTGGCAGCTGGCAGATGCACAAACTACTAGTAGTCCCTGTCGGATATTGTAAAATGAAATAATATTCTGTATAATGTATATACATACGTATAGTGATGAAACTCCGGTGCCAATGTATAACATTATGGCACTATTCAATTATGAATTGAAAATTGAAAATACGCTCTTGTAGAGAAATATTTAATGGACGGTATATGAAGTTAAATTATCCTATACAGTACAGCACGTATACGCATTTCATGATACGGTACAGTACAACACTTTATAACGTTCTTCAATTGCGGAGATCGTGAGCCTCATATGAAATTATATAATATTTGTGGATAGATGTAATTACGCGCATATGGAGGCTATATCATAGAGAGTTGCAGCAATCCTTTAGTTCATGCATGCAATAAATGCTGTAGATAATTCATCCCTTAGCTATGGATTATATAGTATTATTATGTTAACAGATAGCTTAATGCAATACGAAAGCCTTATTTTCTTACCAGTATCAATATGGATTCGTGTCATCACCGTCAAAGGAAGTTTGGTTTCAACTATTCCGAGCCGGCGTATCACGTTATTTCGTAATTTGTATTCAGTCAAATAAGAAACAAAAGTAATACAACTATCAACGGCAATTTAAGTGATTTCTATTCATTTTATAAAGTCGTGACATCTGTCTCCTAATCTTTCATCCGTAAAGATTCATTTTATCACTCACTTCCCTGCTGCATCAGTTTACTATGAGCTTTGCAGAATTTTCTGGATAACGGCACTAACTGATCAACAGAAGTTAAAAAATGCAAATAGGTAGTACAGTATACAGTGGTCCATATTGCTCGCTGACTAATATTGGTGTGTTACCTTATTGTGTTAGCCCTAAATAGCACAAACCACCGTACGGGTATGTAACAGTCTGTGCATAACGATAACCGCTTAATGAATTAACTTAATCAGCTTTTGTTCTATATTTGACTGCTGATAGTGTGACAACAATTATACGAACTCTTTTTGGAGTCGAATGCCAGATTTTTTAGACTCTTTGTAAATACTGTAGATTCCTGATATACCTGTCACATAACTGGATTACGGACGCCTGTTGTGCCAATGAAATTGTAATTCTTTCTGCACCATGGGTTAAGCGATTTTCGCCCATACGCCTGCTTTTCTTGTTTTTGATTAACATGATACTGGACACATAAGCCACTGTTTGATTATCTCAACTTCAATTTATTAATGAAATTATTAAAATTGCTGGATTTGTACACAAGATATTAAGAATCACAGTTCAACTAGTCAATAGAATTGACAATTGCGAGCATCAAGACCTCCAGTCCCTGATGTGATGTACGAAGGTTATTACGGGGAAGGAATCTACGAGTGTCTTTCGTAGACCGACAACTACGTATCTTATGGTCATGGGCAAGATTTTTGTATTGAACATGATATTTATTGTTAAACGGTTACTACCTTTATATGACGATTGTAAGCACTCCCTAAAAAGCAAATTTTATAACAATATACAGTACAACGTACAATGTATCGTATCTGCACTCATGGTTAATCCAGAGATGAATGAACGGAGCAGTACACTTCTTAAACATCAAGAAATTTGTGATTTTAGAAAAAATACCATAGCTAGAGTCATCAATATCATAGAAAATTTTAATACGTTCAAATTAAAATAGGGAATACTAACTCCTAATATGATTATAGCAGAACTTATATTAGCATTAGTTATTTGATGAATCATTAATCATATGTCGGTGCAAGGCGAATAATAAATATGAAGCAACGCATGTATCAAAGGCCAGTTCATAAGGCTTTAGTTACTTCCTTAACGCCAAAAAACATGTAGTCATACGCCAGGGCACCTATTCAGTTGTACAGGCTACGGACAGCTATTTACTTTTTCAACAATATACAATACTTTAAATGTTAATATCGGTAATAAGCATTAACAATCCTATAGGAAAATCAATGTTATAGGTGCTTGAAATCTAATAATTTATATAATCCCTATATAAACTTATTTTAGATGTTTACATTATGAGCTAAGGACTGCAGACCGTTTCTCTTCAGAACTTTTGTCAACAGATGCGGATGGAGATTCTGAAGGAGGAGATGGTAAATTAGCTTGTTCGTCTAATTCACTGGACACACTTGGTGCACTAGGTTCAGCAGGTGAGCTTAGTCCTTCATTTTTGTGGCTTGGCGTTTCTTTCCATGAACTTGTCTCTCCAATTTGAAGCATTGCATTTAGCCTATTACCAACCTCTTCCATCTAGTATAAATACAATATATATATATATATGTAAAATTACTTGACTAATTGACCGTTGGTATAAAAAATCCACAGCACAAATTTTACAAATACTCGGAAATAATTACTTCGGGATCGACATCATTTGATTTTACTTCTTTTAATATTGTTAGCTTGTCTTCAAACAGTCGAAGTTGTTTTATTGCTGAACGTTTGTCTCCCCAGTTATACAAGGCAATTGCATAATCAAGATTTACAAGTGGATCGTAACTGCAAATAAATCCATTAAGTAATAACGTTCGTATTACTATAAAATTTTTCATTGTGTTAGATAAAAAGTCTAAAGGTGGAGGGCTTTACTTGTCTAGCATGCAAGCTTGATCGTAGGCTTTTTTGGCGTTATTAGAGTCTTCCAAATGTGTCAGACATACTAGGTTAGGGAAAACGTATCATACATTAGTTTCCTTCTTATTTATCATAAAACTAAATCGCAAACTCACTCACTTGCAAGTAACATATATAGCTGGCCAAACTTTGGACGTAGGTTAATAGCAGCGCTGAGGTAGTGAAATGCTGAAGCATATCTAGTTTATTAAGCCAGTAAAGCAAAAATCATCGTATGTTTCAAGAAACTAATAGCATAGCAATTATTTGTGTAGTTTGATTTGTATTGGTTTTATAGTATAAGAAGGATACTGTTGCATTGTTAAATGAACAAGGCCCAGATTATACATTATCTTCCATTTGAAGGGCGACAAGTAAGCAGCTCGTTTCAGGCAGCTTACAGCCTGTTTAGAGAAGAAGTTACAACCAAAGTTAATCATTTTAAGGGTGTACGGAACTGTACAATTATAGTTACCGCAACAAATTTCTTCTTTCCAAAAAAGCACATTCCAATATTGTTCCACAGTGGCGGTGATTCAGGTTCAACTGATGCTGCAATTCGATATTTCATAAGAGCAACATCAAAATCATTATGAGCTTGCATCATGGATCCAGCCGCAAGTATAGCCTAAGAAGAAATGTAGATAAATTTTATTAGTAATAACGTAGTGTACAGTTGCTCTTGCTTGAGTATCATTATTATAGCACCATTACAGTACCTTCACATTAGAGGGGTTATAAATTAATGCTTGACCAAGTTGCTCGAAAGCTTTCTGATTTTGTCCAATCTACAGCATAAGAAGTAAGGCATTAGCATAATAATTCGTGATATCATTAAGAATTCTTAAATCGAACTTAGAATGACGTACCTTAATATACAATAGCCCAAGAGTAGTCATGATTTCTGTATTTTCGGGAGAAAATCTACGGTTTCCATTTTTAATATATATGTGAATTAAAGTATTTAGCAAGAAGTAAAGTCATAAGAAAATAAGATATATTTAGGCATACTCGAGGGCTTGTTTATAAGTATCAATGGCGATTTGTAAGTTCCCCTCCAAGGCAAATACACGGCCAAGATGTATATAGGAAATTTCGTGACGGTTGTTATCAATAGCAGCTTTAAGGTATTCTTTAGCCTTTGTAAATTCTTTTAAATATAAATAACAAATTCCCTGATTATGCAGAACTTCCCAGTCAACTGACGTTTGCTGACGAGAAATTTCGTTGTATACTTCTATAGCAGCTTTATGCCTAGCTAGTAAAAACCTGTACAGGTGAAAGAGGGTTTAAAGATTTAAAATACATATATATAATGAAGTGTCTTCAATCAGATGTGAGACCTTTAATATACGTCACGGTGCATATAGAATATTTATTGACTACTTTTAGGATAGGCCAAACAACGTTAGTACTTACAAAGATCTTGCAACCTGTTTTAAATTATCAATATTTTTAGGATTTAAAATGCTAGCTTTCTGAAACATTTCCAAAGATTCTTGAATTTTGCCCTCTTGACGAAGAATTAGTCCTAATCGATTTAATATTTAAGTTTATGAAATTGCAAATTTAGATCAGCATACCCTTCAATAACTTTTACTTTAAGAGTACTCAAGTTGCCGGATTATAGAGTGCAATTTACAGTTGTAATATCTATTTGAAGTCAGGTATATAAATAATTTTATAATTGTACTCAACGAGCGTAAGATTACCCTGAACATAGATTGCGTATTCACATAAGCCATGTGTTTCAGCTAACTGTTCCTTAATCAACGCCTATCCAAAAAATATTTAAAAGAATAAGCATTTCGATTACTGTATACAGTAAATTGATAACCTAACGCCGGTTACTATCGACGAATTTATGGTTGCCATAGTAGCAAAGTTAACGAAGTACAGTATAGGTAGACTTCCTAATTGAAAGATGATTAAAGTTGTTTCTTTACAGTTAATAAATGTATCATAGTACCTTGCAAGCATCAAATTCTTTCTTTAGGTAGTGCATATGAATAAGCCAGTTTCTTCTTTCAAAAATCGACAGTTCAGGGGCTATGTAGAACATTTTTCACTTTTAATTTTAATAGAGTACGGTACGAATATGTATTTATAAATAAAATAATGTTATTAAATGTGAAATTGCGAATTTTAACATTAAAATAAGATAATATCAATTCGGCGGATAGCTTTAATTTTATTACAGTAGATATATACTGTATAATATAGACTACATAATGTATATGTTGCTGTCGATATATATAATTTTGGTGTTTCATCAAATACGTATAATCAAAAATTCGATATTAACGGTAAATAAGTAAATCGGACGAAAAGAAAAGTAAATGTGTTATAGGATGGTACAATGTTATAACTGATATACCCGTTTTCTTACTATCAATTAATTGATAAAAAATATTCTGATTACTTTACGAGATTGATAAGGAAAGAATTGTCTGAATTTCTTTAAGGGTTTTCGTTCATATAGAAATTATATACTGTATTTGCTATTGATTTAGGTTATGCTGAACTTTACATCTTTGACTACAGTATATTCGGAATTTCCATACCTTTGACTGGTCTCTTGGGCCTAGAACCTTCCGTAGGCTTTCTTAACGATCCAGACTGCTTTAATTCTGAATCTTTAATTCCTGTATCACCTCTGATCTCATTTGATGAACTCTCTCCCCCAGTTGTTTTAGCGGTCTGTTGTAGAGTTGCGTCGGCCATTTCGTGTTTTAATTAACTTGATTTCTTGAAATACTAAAGCACTAAATACTGTACTGTACAGTATTGGATTTATCGAGTACTAAGTGAGCGGTATGATACTTCATAGTACTGTACTGTACTGTATTGAATGTTTATTTTTTTCTACAGTACAGTACTGTACAGTACTTCTACTGACAACCGTACGGTAGGTACAGTACAGTACAGTATAGTACTGTACTGTACAGTATAGTACCGTGCTGTACTGTACAGTACATGAATACATAGTGCTAGGGTTCAGGCACTCCTGAATTCCTCTTCCTAGTGAATAATGCACTTCCCTCACCGTACCTGCACACGGTGTACAGTACCTGCAGACTGTACAGTACAGTAAGAATGTACTGTACACTGTAACATAAAGCACTAGGCCAGCAGCAGTTCAGCTGTTCTCAGGCATCCCTACTTCTACTTCTAGCTGCATCGTTGTTTTGCGTTCTTTACAGATAGTTTTATTTTCTACTGCTAATTAATTAATTTCTATATTATAATGGGAAAGTCTGACTATCTATCAACATTGAAAGATTCAAGCGAACTGCAAAATATATATGATAGCTTACCTGTAATAAATGCACAATCAGCTTATTTTGAAGTTATTCAGAAGATTGACAGGTGATGTGATATAATACTGTAAGTATTTAGCAAATGAAGTAATAAAACGAAGATACTCACTCGTACAGTAGCGCTAAATTTGTGAATATCAGATTATTACGCAGTTATGCAGTAAGGGCCCTAATACTTCCATGTTTTTATACGAACATGTTTTTGGTACGAAATTAATTATGTTCGATATAGGAGCAAATTGTACTTAATAATTAAATAGGTCTAAAGTTTGATATACGCTTATAATTATTAATTAATTAATTATAATTATTAAGATTCCTGTATAACCAATTTTCATAGTATATCAATTCTATATATTACAGTACCAATGCTATAAATACCACGTAGAAGTGCGTAACTTAATGTGTGCTTTCCTGTGTTGTGTGTATGTACAGTATATGGCACTGCAAAGCACTTTTTATTTATTTTATTTCATTCTACTTCGTATGTACGCGTATATCATCATACGTACGTTCCTACAAAACAATGAAAACCGCAGTGTTCTGGTGTTAATTTCTAAATTATGCAATCACTTATTCGTAATAGCCATGCAATCTCAGATGAAATTGAATCGCGTGTCAGAGCTATCCTCCTACAGTTGGATAAAATTTCTACCGAATTCGAATTAGAACAATTTCAGGATGATTTTTTAACAGACAATATCGAGAGCATTAAGATATCGGATATGGGTGCCTCATATCAGGTAAGTTGAAATATTAATGGATTTTTAATACTATTAATCCTAAGTAATAACAATTTAGTTATTTACTATTAGTTGTAAATGCTGATTATATAAATTCAGGGTACTGTATGTATTCGTACGTATTAAAAATGCGTTAATTTCTGTTAATTCTGCAACTCTACTTCAATTTAATATCTTACATTAGCCTATGCTCTAAGAAAGCTATGTTATTTATTTATTATCTCAGATGGTCAACCTAACCAACTGTAAAATCATAATAAATGTCTTTCAACTGCATCAAGATGAGCCTGCAGATGAAGGTTTAAATGATGATGATGAGAATATAGTAGCTGCACGTCACTGGATTTTACCATCTACATACTTACATGATACGTGGGATAGTTTAATTTACGAGGATAATATTAAGGCTAAGGTTATGCTTTTTTCTACTAACATTAACAACTTTGAAATTAGTTCTTGATGTAATAATAAACTGGCGCCTTTTTCAAGAACGCTATCGAAATTTTTGATAATCCATCTAAATAAATTAACATTGATACAAATTACTCACTAAACAGCTTTTAAGCTACATTTCTACCACTCTACTCTTTTCGGACAAGTAAGGCTTCCACAATAAACTATGCTATAGCCTTGATTTCTCGATGCTATTAAAGAAATTAAATATATTCACTTTATTTAGGAAAGTAAACCAGGATCTAATAAATTGGAATAGGATCGTTTTATTGCATGGTAAGTACAATTTCTACCAAACATTAAGCAAAGTTGATTAAATTGCAGGTCAATAAACTCTTTCTTACCCGTTTACTGAACAATTTCTTCATTAGGCCCACCAGGAACTGGAAAAACGTCACTTTGTAAAGCATTAGCCCATAAATTAACCATAAGATTTTCCAAACGGTCAGAGTCTTATCTAGGGTTGTTAGACTATTTTTGAGTTTATATGTAAGAAAACGGCATTCTTTTGAATTTCGTTATATTTTGGTCTCCTTGTAATAGGTATAAATACGGTCAATTAATTGAAATAAATAGTCATTCGTTGTTTTCGAAGTGGTTCTCGGAGGTTAGAAAATCTAAATGTCGTTAGTATGACTGCTATTAGATCTATTTTTCGAACATTATACATATTTAAATATTAGTGCTTGACTTTCAATATTATAACAGAGTGGTAAACTGGTTATGAAGATGTTTCAAAAAATTCAAGAATTGGTTGATGATTCAGACGCTCTGGTATGCCTTCTTATAGACGAGGTATTTATTGCATTGCATTAAAATCTGTACCCTATTGTGCCTTCGTCAGAATAACTAATCTAAATTAACAGCTAAGAAAAAGAAAATCTTCTAACTACGCTAGGTAGAAAGCCTAACTGCTGCAAGATCAGCAGCATTAAATGGAACTGAACCTTCTGATGCAATTCGTGTTGTAAATGCTCTATTAACGCAGCTTGATCGTATTAAAAGGTTGACACGGTTTTGATGCAGTAGAACTACGCGAATAATTCACAACTATTTAACAATCTTTTAGATTCCTTTTATATCTTTAACAAGTCTTGTGTAAATATTTTAATATCAGTTTGGGATTACCATTTTATTGTATAAATTGGACAATGCATGAAATTACTACTGCTTTGGATGGATGTTTGTGTACTCAATGTATAGTATAACGTTAATTGTAACTAGTTCTTAGCTTGATTATTTGTTACAATTTTAGTTATCCAAATGTTGTCATCTTAACTACATCAAACATTACTGATGCAATAGATCTGGCCTTCGTTGATCGGTGAGAATTTTAAAGTAATTTCTAATTAAATACGTTATATTTAAATTATATTGGCTTGAAAAGATCTTCTCAAAATTTTATATTGCTAAGAGCTGATATAAAACAGTTTATTGGCCTTCCGTCAGTTAGCGCTACCATGTCAATCCATTGTGCAAGTCTTAATGAGCTCATGAGAGTTAGTAGTGAATATTCTCTATTGATACCCCATTTAAATGATACAGTAATCTGGTAATCTGGGAGTTTTATTAGGTACATTATCGGATTATTTTGACATATTACGAATTTAGGTTGGCATAATTACACCTCCGAAATTATTAATAGATAATAGGTATTTGCTAACTTACGAATTAAAGTATTGTTTCTTTGATGGTAAAAAGTAGTGGCATCTAGTTTAAAAGTGAACTTTACTTTGTAAGCCATTTTATTTATTTCATCTTTTGCTAATAATTAATAATATCATCTATATCATGCAGGATAATACTATCAAAAATCAGGTAAATTGATTCTTGGTATCAGATAATGGGTGCCTATTGGATTATACATATAGATATTTGAAGAATTAACGATTCGATTTAACTCTTTGAAAATCCTGCATTAGTTCTACCAAAGATGAGACGGCGAAACTTAGTCAAAAACTATTGGAAGTTGCTAGGTTAATATTATTTGGCGATATCGCGTAAAAATAAACTGCGCAATATGTTAATAACTTATTGAAATAGTTAAATTCTATAATTTACGTGCATATATGTTACTTTTTGTCTGGTGTAGTTTAGCAATAATTATACTGTAGTAATTAAAAATTAAAGTATCAAGTATTATACGTATACTGTAGATTGTGCAAAGGCAGGAGTGGCCGCTACCTAAAAAAACTTCCATTTTTAGCACACGCCTTAGCAATTCAGGTAATAAGTAATAAGCTATTTAATACGAGATCTACTTGCCAAAAAGCTAATCTGGAAAGTTTCGTTTTATTTTTTTAAGTCGGCAACTTGCAATATAAAAGATTTCATTGATGCTATGTCCAAAACTATTGAACAAGCTGATGGCGAAAAAGATTTGTTTACCACATCTTAGCGCACTCCCTGGGCAGTCGTCTTGAGTTTGTTGTGACTTATCAAGAATTATATATAATAATGCATGTACTGCTATATTGTATGATCACTTGATAAACTATGGCATTAATATTGCAACCGATAAAGATAATAAAGATAATACTTTAACGTATTTGATTAAAACTTACTAAAAAGTATTATCAAAACTGATTTTAGTATGCATAAAGCAATGAATTTTTTAAATTACGATACTTTGCTATGAATTATGCATATCCTAATGATTTTATCTTCCGATTGTAGGCATATTGTTAATTCGTATTAAATTAATCCGTGTACATTTTAATTTTACTGTTTATAATAATTGAATTTTTTAAGAACTTCATCATGATGCTATCACAGGATGTATTCTGTACAGGTGATATTAAGAGTGGTTCCATTAGATGCTTCGTTTTAAGTAGCTTTTGAATGATTTTGTTATATACTGCACATTTGAAAGAAAATATACTTTGAAAAGAATTAATGCATGAAGTTGTAGCCTTTATGCCATAATTATAGATAATTTACAATGAAAAGGCTAATTTGCCAGTAGCAATTCTTGGAATATAAAAATTAGAATTCATTTCGTTAAATTTTATACATTAGCCAATAGTTAGATTGTTTCAACTCGCTGATAGTTGTAATCCTTTGCGGTATTTTTCTCTACAGAATTATGAAAGAATTAATTTTGAGTAAGAATATAAGCAAAGCATCCAGCAGGAGCTATGTAGCTTAGATTGCTTATGATACATATTTACATGTGTAGCAGACAGCAGAACTATTGCACTCTATACGTTCATAATATACAATAGAGTAATTTCAATGAACATTACATCACAAAATAGAAGAATGTTTTTAGATTACACGAAGTATTCTATTATATACATCGTGGACTCTCTTCGATACAAAAAATAAGTATGGAATCTTGCAACACACCATAAATACAGTAGCGTAAGGAATAGAGCTGGCTTTTACTTACTTAAAACAGCCTGTGCCTTCATATATACATGTAGACTTATTCCCGCTATGCAAACAACCAGGCCCATAAAATTGATCAAGTTTATTTTATCGCCACCCAAGGTAAATGCTATACTCAATGTACAAATTTCCTGTAATTGTATATTTTTCATTAGGCGATAAAATTTTGCAATCAAATATAATTATTACACATCGAGACTTCAGTTGTACCTTAAAGATTCCAGAAATTGACAATGTCAAACCCGACGTTTGTAACACAACAAAATATTCCGAGAGACTAAGTAGAAAGCCAAGAATAGCACCGATTAGGATAAGAAAGAGAGTCCATAAAGCATCGCCAAGGTTAGCAGCCCGGAAAACCTGCGAAGAAAGTGCTAAGCTTGGTCCTATAAAAAAAGGAAAACATTCAATATTGACATCACTGATTCAATCAAGGCAATTTTACTAAAGCGCTATACTGAATCAAACGGACTAAAATCGATTATGATTAGGCATAATAATTACCTTCAATAAAAACAGCTAAAGGTAAAAGTGTAATAGCCATAATGGGTTGTAAGTGAAACATTAAATCTATAGGGTTAGCTAAACCTGAAGGGCAACGTTTAATAAAAGTTAGCATACTTCTGAGGCGTACTGAAAAATTACGCCAATTCAGGTATCATAAATTTACCAACTGATTCTTTCTGTAAAATTGTCTGAGCTAAAGCCCATCTCAATCCGCCAATAAAAGAAGCGCTTAGCACCTTAAATACGTTTCATCAATTGTTAATTAATAAATTATTTAGCACTAAAATTGTTATAGCTAGATAATGGTTGTTACCAGGATGAAACCAAATAGATTGAAGTCCGTTGATTGATACGTAAATAGCAGCAGCCCTCCACTGACAAGCGCAACGACAGAAATCTGAGACGCTTTCTAAATTAAGAAATTGTCGCTTATTTACTATTATTTATAGTAATTGAGTCATCACAGCAATAACGAATCTTTGTCTATGTATACGAGTATATGCATACGTCTTAGTAACGCCAAATTATAAAGATAGAGAACAAATAATTTTAATGATGCGATGAATCTTATCAATTAATACACCGCCCATCAAATTATACTCTTTACAGTAAAGTTGTACTATGTGAAGAAAACTTTTATACAATATCTTACGTTATCGATGATGAGATTTAAAATAATGACAGTATTAACCAGAAACGCAAGATCATATAAATAGGACAAAGTTAACAATACACCGCATTACATACAAATTCTTCAAGCCTGAACCATATCGAAAATCCAAGGATGAATATGATACAAGTTGACTTAGACATGGTATATCTATCAATAAAAATTACAGCAAAGTTATAGTATATCATATATCTAAAATAGTTTAATTGTAGCCTATTTTTATAATAATATTTATAATTTTTAAGCAGCAGTCCTTATAACACATGCAAGGATCGATGATTAATACTATTGCATTGATCACGAATTACAGTGTAGCATCTATCATATCACTGTGTCAACCAGATCCGAAAACTGCTCAATGTTTTTCACATGACGCATCTATAACTTAGTGCGCTTTAAATGTATTAATATTTTACTTACAATGATACAGTAATAAACAAGAAACTCCAATTTGAAAGGCCAATATCCAAAGCTGTTGATATTGCTATAAAGGGGTACAGTAAAGCGAAAATGGAAAAGTTGATAACAGAAAAACTATCTGAGACACGTATTGAAATATTCATGGTATGGTATGAATATAACAAACTATTTATTACACATATTAACTGTGTATAATAAGTAGTTCGTTTAATCGATTGTCATTATGAATAGATTAATTTTTCACTAGCAATGAAGAAGAATTATAAAAAAGTGATGTTTGATTACCTGTGGGTGAGACTCTTCGAATATATGATTGCCACGATAGCCAAACGGTTCTTTGATCATAAACTAAGCGATAACACTCACGTATGAAAGCGGTGATACCGAATTTCACTAGTATATGAACCAAGGATATTGATAAAGGGAAGTGAAACCCCTACAAGAAGAGTACAATAAAATTATTAATATATAGATGTACTATAATTAGCGTACAGTATATCTTAGCGCAATACTGTATCATTTACTAACACGTTAGCTGTTAAATGCTGTATCATCACAAGCAATAACATTACTAGAATTCTTACAACTAATAAGTCAGTTGGAGGCTGAAATAGACTACTCTCAATTAATAATTGAAATGATTGAATAAACGATAAAATACTTGTATGCTTGAGTATGTTATATAGGTATACTTTAAAGCATATTTTAAATATTAATCAGAGTACCTTGAAAAGAAATTTCAACTCTTGAAGCTTAGGCTTCCAAATGTTGTAATACTAACATAATTTTTAATATTACAGTGCTATTTAGTATATTGATCCAAGTTTAACATATGACGTCTAGCGTAATCAGTATAATAGCTAAATCTGTATTGCAACTCAAAAACTGTACTTAAGCAATACTCGTAAGTAAGCCTCTACTACGGAGCGGGAGACCACCCGTCAATTATACAAAGTTTGTTAGTCCGTCTATTGGACTTGATCCTGTTATACTTTAGCGCTATCAAACTTGCTTATCGT